GCGGTTCCCGAAGCTCCTAGGACCGGAAGAGCGACTGTAAGCTTCTTGAGGACACGAACCATTCACATGTATTTTTATTTTTTAGGCAAGTAAAGCAGTGGGATATGTTCATAATTTTATCCTTAGTGCAGTGCTTATATAACTAACATTGCAGGTTAGAGACAAAAATATTTGTGGAGTGCACTTTTTTTTTTTTTTTAACCATACATGGAGTTTCTATAAACACTACAGTCTTCATGGCTGGGCGATTTATTCTTTTCATATGACCTCTGTACCTATTTTATATTTCATTGTGTTTATGAAATATTAACATACGGGGGATAATTACGAGGGCCTTTTTTGATTACCTGAAAAAATTGTTTTTTAAATGTTTTTAATGCAAGACAGAGACTTGAGCATCTTTATGGGCTGAGGAGGAAGAGTCACTGGAAAAGTGGAGGTTGCAGATATGGTGCAAGCTCCCAGACAGGAGAGGGTGAATTGGGGGCCAAAAGGATTGAGCTGGGGAAGAAGAGGCCCTTTCCTCAGAGAAATGAGGGAGAAAGGCAGACCAGGGCAGATGTGGACGTAGGTAAATGTGGTGGTGGTGGTGGTGGGGAATTAGGTTGTGTCAGGCACAGACAACTTGGGATTTTTCACTTGGGTATAAAATAAGATTCTCTGCTGAGAATGACAGTCAACGTAATGTGGGGGTCGGGGTGGTGGTCTGGCACAGCAGTAATGAGGAATGGGAGAAGCTGACTACAGTCTCCCATAAAGAATGCTGAGGGCCTAGCTGTCGATAGTGACAGGGATTTGCACTGAAATCAACCTGCAGGTTTCAGTGGTACTTGCCTATTCCAGGAAAACTGGGTAGGGATTTGACAAAACTCTTGAGGAAAAGGACGCACAGAATTTAATTAAAATAGCACCTCCCTTTAGGTTTCGTCTCCTTTCCATCCTCCCCTCCCAAGCCCCACAGCTGCGGTGGGCGGGTTTTAGCATGTTTTCTGCCATTAACTGCACTGCGCTCTCGGCACGACAGAAAGGACGAATAACGCTAGACAAGCTGGGCAAGACAGGGCTTGGTAACTTTATTTGCATCAGAATTTGCAACACAACACCTAAATGAAAAAATTAACTAGAAAGCCAAGATCACTTACTCTGGGTCAGGGCACCAGACCATTCGCTTTAAGTGCATTTACTTAATCCTCAAAAAAGTATTAAGAAGTGAGTCCTATTATTAACCTGACTTTACATACCAGAGGTCTAAGGCCTAAAGAAATGACCAATTTGTTTAAGATCATATGGCTGGTTATTGGCGGAGTCATGCAAGTCTGGAAACAGTCTAACTCTGGTTCTGGGCTACACAAGTGAACTGTCAGTCTACAACAACGTAGTAACATATTATGAGTGCCCAGAGCATCGAACACATACGGTAACCGCAGTCCAGCCAGTACCTGTGCAGTGCCCAGAATACCAAGCACCCAACCGGTGACCCCGCACGCGTGACGCTCACGCGCGCAGTCCGTCTGGCTTCTTCCTGGAAGACTGAAGTGGCCTAATCTCGGCCAAAAGATCTGGACGACTCGATCTGGGCCAGACTCCTTCTGCCTGAGCATCTGATCCGAGCGTCGTGCGGGCTGGGAGGAGCCGGCCCCCGGGAAAGATTGAGGATTGGGGGACAGGCAAACAGAGGGCGGAGTCTTGAGGGGAAGCGAGAAGCCGCAACAACCAGGTAAGCAGCTTCGCTTCCTGCCGCAACCGCCCGCGGCCTAAGTAGCACATCGCCGCGCTCGGGGGCCGACTTCTGGGGTCTGAGCTGGTGAAACAGTGAATGGGGTGGAGGGCAGCCGGCGCGGCCGGGGCGGGAGGCGCAGGTAAGGGCGGGGGCCTGGAGCGCTGCTGGCTAGAGCTGAGCATGGGAGAGAGGCCGGTATGGGGGAACTAACTCCTGGGCCAGAGCTGATGTGAAGGCGAGAACCGGGGCTCCTCAGCCGGGGGCTGGGGCCTGGCTGCGGCTGAGCAAGGAAGGACAGAGAACCTGCCTTTAGAATTAGCTGGTCCTTCTGATTCCCCGGCTGCCTCGTCTGGCGAGTAGGGACAGAAGTCGGGTGGGGCCCTTGAGATTTCCTTGGAAACCTTAGAAGTTCCTTTGCCTCTCTCTCGACGCTTTGTGCCTGAACTTAGGAGGGGAAGAGTCCTGTTGCTTTTTCCCTCTCAGTGCAAGAATTCTGAGTTTGTCAGAGGCGCATCCGTAGGTTAGAAAAGAAAGTTCATGATCTGCAGAAACGATACTAACCGTGGGGGTTAAAGTATGTGCTTGTCTTCTTAAATGCTTGCCTCTGCTATTTGAGACGATTCCATTTCAACTTCGGTTTCAGAGTCTCGAGGAGGAGGCTTATTTCCCAATTAGTGTTTACCCTTTGCTTAGAAGGTTCCCAACAAAAGGTTGAGAATGGAATGTGTTGGATACTTTTAGGACTTAGGGGTTTTCTGCCCAATCAGAGGCTATTCCTAAGACAATCAAGAAATTTAAGAAGTGCTAGAATTCTGTATAAAGCAAGTTATTCGTGTGTATCTGCTGTGTGTATATGTTACATTATCTACTATTGACGCAGTGCATCCTGTGTTGTAAAATGTGTCTAATGTTGGCAATAGAGGTAGTCGCTTGGTATAGTGTGCTTATTTATGATTTGAGTCTCTTTTTGGCACTCCATCACTCCCACTCTGTCTGTAGTCTTACAAAAAGTGTTCTTATTTCTTTCTTTTGTGTTTGTGACAAAGATTGTGTAGGCTAAATCTCTTCTGCGGAGCAAGACTAATTCCCTGTGTCCTCCCTTTTTCTGCTTTCTGAATCATGCTCTGGTTTTCCTTTAGTGTTTCTTTAGGCGTGCAGGTCAAAAATTGAACAAGAAATCTTTGTTGATAGAAGCTAACATTTCCAATATTCAGCTTTCCTAAATCATTAAATAAATTTTCAGTATGTACGTATGTATGTATGTATTTTTGAGACGCACTCTCTCGCTCTGTACCCCAGGCTGGAGTGCAATGGCATGATCTCCGCCGACTGCAACCTCCGCCTACCGGGTTCAAGCGATTCTCCTGCCTCAGCCTCAGTAGCTGGGATTACAGGCGTGCCACTACACCTGGCCAATTTTTGTTTTTTTTTTTTTAGTAGAGACAGGCTTTCGCCGCGTTAGCTAAGCTGGTGTCGAATTCCTGACCTCAGGCTATCCACCCGCCTCAGCCTCCTCCCAAAGTGCTGGGATTACAGGTGTCAGCCACTGTGCCTGGAGTCTCCCTCCCTCGCCCAGGCGGGAGTGCAGTGAGTCTTGGCTCACTGCAGCCTTTGTCTCCCAGGCTCAAGCGATTCTCCTGACTCCCAAAGTGCTGGGATTACAGGTGTGAGCCACCACGCCCGGCCTTTACTAATTGGCTTCTGATAGTTTGTAGTACTGGATATATTAGTAGCCTTAATTAGAAAGGGTGAATTATTGGTGATATATTAGAAGGTATTGGATAGGTAGGTTAATAGGACCGATTACCTCTCAGTTAGGAAACAGTCCTAGTTTATATTTTAAAGAGTCGTTAAGCTGCTGAAGAGTGAGAGTTGTAATTTTTTCAGGGCCCTCGTGTCATTATGTAATTATTAGGATTAACTATATGATTGAGTTTGTATTTCAGAGACTACACTCGCTGAGTGTTTTCCTGGGAATTTTTATTTTCATATTTCTAAAGCCAAGTATAATTTTTGTGTAGATAACCTTTAGAAGTAATTCCAAGACTCTTTAGGCAGAATGCCATCTCTGCTTCTGACATTCCTTGTGTCAAAGTAGAATGTAGGCTGTTTTCTAGGGGTGGTTGTTACTATCGTCACATCCTTTCTCTCCAGTGCTTTTTTTCTTCTTCTTCTCGTTTTTTGTTTTTGTTTTTTTTCTTTAATAGAGATGAGGTCTCCAACTCCTGGCCTCAAGCGATCTCCCATCTCAGCCTCCCAAAGTGCTGGGATTACAGGCATGAGACCACAGTGCCTGGGCTCTTTAAAACAACAATAACAACAACAAAAAACCACAAACTTTTTTTTAAGTGTATACTTGATCAGCTTACTTCTCAACACTTTTTGACGAATTGTCATGACACTTCAGAAGGATTGATTATTCTTCTCAATAGAAGATATTAGAAACCTTTCTTCCCCTTCTTTTTTCTTCTTTCCTTCCCCTTCCTCTTCCTCTTTTTATTTTCCCTCCCCCAATAAACATTTATTGCCAAAATTCTGTTTAAGTCAGTGATTTTTCTGATTTAATTAATTTATTCATTAAATTATTGATCTCACAAAGTCTTGAGTAGTTAGAGAATGCAGATAGGCTAAAAATAAAGTGTGAAGAGCTACAAAAGTAATTTTGATTTGAGGAATACTTTTGGGGTAAGACTTGGGGTATAGTGACAGTTGTATCTGTATGACCCCCAAGAAAGTTGTTTTAGGTTCAGTGTACCTTGGTTGCCTCAAAGGTAAAATGTAGTAATAAAGCCAGCTGTGTGTGCTTTCCAGGACTGTTAAGAATAAAATGAGGCACTTTGGGAGGCCGAGGTGGGTGGATCACGAGGTCAACAGATCGAGACCATCCTGGTCAACATGGTGAAACCCCGTCTCTACTAAAAATTACAAAAAATTAGCTGGGCACGGTGGCGCGTGCCTGTAATCCCAGCTACTCAGGAGGCTGAGGCAGGAGAATTGCCTGAACCCAGGGGGTGGAGGTTGCGGTGAGCCGAGATTGTGCCATTGCACTCCAGCCTGGGTAACAAGAGTGAAACTCCGTCTCAAAAAAAAAAAAAGAATAAAATGAGATGGTAGATATAATTTTGAATGTGAAAAGCATTTTGCCAAGAGTGTAATGTCCTCTTTGTAAAGTGGAGACTAGATTATAAACTATAGTATATGTATTGTTTTTTCCAAGGGAGGACCTTGTCTTTATTTTGAAACAATAGGCGGCCTTCTGGTGGCCAAAACATGCTTCTGCCTATGGAGGCCAGTGTCTGGGCCCTAAGGATCGGCAGAGCTCAGTACGCTTAGGATGTTTTAGGAAGGCCTCGTAGTTGATGCAGCCGTTGCTGACCTCATGTCCTGCCAGAACAGTCTCCATCTTCTCTTCAGCTATCTTTTCTCCCAGGGTGGTAAGGGCTTGTCTGAGCTCAGCTCTCCTAACTTTGCTGTTGTCAAACACGTGAAGCCCTTCCAAGTAGTCCTCATATGTGCCCTGGTTCCGGTTCTTGGCTGCTGCTTGGAGCATGGGCAGGAAAGTCTTTAAGTCCACATGCTGGGACTTCAGCTCATCACTCTTGGGGTTCCCTAGGACTCTGAGCACCTTGGCATTGGTGGGGTTCTGGCCCAGGGCCCCCATCATGTCCCCAAACTGGCTGTACAGGATCTTGCCATCCCGCACTCTGCCAAACAGCTTGAAGGCCTCCTTGAGCTCCTCCAACTGGTCCTTGTTAAACCTGATCACCACTTTGGAGAGATTGATTAAGGGCTCCTGGGCTTTCTCAGGGGTTTAGGGGAATAGCTGGCTCAGCTTTGATTTTGGTTGGAGAGACCCCTGCTGCTGCTGGTTGGCAGCAGGTTTGGAGAGGTAGGGCCCTGCTGCTTCCTCCCCAGAAAGAACATCCTTCTTAGAATCATGATGTCTGGTGGCCAAAGGACAGTGTGTGGATGGGGGTACCCATCTACTTTGGGGTCTGTCAGGGGCACTGTTTTAATAATTAGAGTTATCCATGGTTCTTCTCTTTGAAATATAAATAAATATGGCAGAAAATACTGCTTTTCTGTAACTTCCATCTGGTGATGTGGTTAGCTTTACTGCTTTGGTTGAAATATGATTTTTGGTTATTTAGAAAAAAAGCCCTTTAAGAAGATCTGCATTAATGTCAATATGAATTGAGGCTTAAAGGGAAGAAAAACCAGGTTCATTTGTTCAGGAGCAAGCAGATATAGTAGGGAAACAACTTGTTGATTTGAAGTCGTCACAGATCATGAAGCATAGCTTCAGGTAAAAGTTTTGTAGAAATGTCGTTAGAGGATGATTTTCATGTTCTTGTCTTAGAAATATAATTATTTTTATATTATTTTTTAAAATATAAAAGTTGAGGCAGGCATAGTGGCTCACACCTGTAATCTCAGCACTTTGGGAGGCTGGGGCTTAGATCACTTGAGGTAGAGGAGTTCAAGACCAGCCTGGCCAAACCCCATCTCCACTGAAAATACAAAAAATTAGCCGGGCGTGGTGATGCATGCCTATAGTCCCAGATACTTAGGAGGCTGAGGCAGGAGGATCGTTTGAACCTGGGAGGCGCAGGTTGCAGTGAGTCAGGATCTTGCCATTGTACTCCAGCCTGGGTGACAGAGCAAGACTCCATCTCAAAAAAAAAAAAAAAGTTGAAATAAGTAAAACAAGACTGAAGAATTTCTATGTGTGTTGTATAACTAGCCCTCCCTTTGTAACTTTAAAAAGCTGTTCTATATCCTTTCTTCCAAAACATCTTAAAATGAAAGCAGTAGAAATGATGTGAAAGTGCTTATTTTTCTTTCTGACTGCACACATTAGTGCTTTACCTCCAAATTTTTATTAATTTAAATATTTTCTATAATTTGAATAGTTATGCTTCAAATTAAGTTGGCTATCAGATAATAGTTTTAGGTGATTGAGACTCTTATGATTTAGACAGCAGTGTGTTCAGTCCTTTGGAATATATGAAGCTAGATTTATTTATGGTTTGTTTTCATAGATCTGAATTTTCACAGAATAGGATTTTCTAGATATTTGGATGCTGTTTGGAATCAACTTTTGAGCTTCCTCAGGCATTTATATATTTGCTTGTTTTCTTGTGTCTTTTCAGACTCATGAAAATGGCCACAGATGATAAGACGTCCCCAACACTGGACTCTGCTAATGATTTGCCTCGATCTCCCACTAGTCCTTCTCATCTCACACACTTTAAACCTTTGACTCCTGATCAAGATGAGCCCCCTTTTAAATCAGCTTATAGTTCTTTTGTAAATCTCTTTCGTTTTAACAAAGGTAAGACTTATTAAGGATAAGAGCTTTGATTCTTTGAAATACTCCTTTGTTTCCACTTTAATGTCGGGTCTGTAAGAAAGTGAAATATTAACAAGCTGATAGCTTTAATTGTAGGTCACCAGGGTTTACTGCTGAAGAGAAAGCTAGAACTTTTACTGTAATATCATTAATTATTGTTAACTAAAGGTCTGAATTAAAAACTAAATGTTAAAAGAAGGTTTCTTTTAATAGAAAAATCAGTATTCTTTTTTTCTTAATATACTTCAACTTATTTCATAGAATGGACTTTGTTCTTTTGGGGATTAATAGCTAAAATATTTAAAGCAATGAAACTAAAAGGAGCAGTACATGGAAGGAAAGGTTTATATTGTTCAAAAATTGGAAGCTGTCAGTAGGCCTCTTGCTGACTTAAAATATTAGATTAAGGTGTACATGTCATGACATCAAATGAAAAGATACTTTTTAAATAAGCGATTTTTAAGTAATATGTCTTTTACTTGGAATAAGAATTTAAAAAACATGGCCCATATATTTCGTCTTTTGTTTGTCTGTATTACTTGAAGTACGTTAGAAAGTAATTCTTGTTGTAAAGAATTTGAGGAGGTTACTAGTTTTAATTAACTTAGTAGAATATTTTATTTTATTACTTTTTTTGAGGCAGAGTTTTACTCTTGTTGCCCAGGATGGAGTGTGATGGCATGATCTTGGCTCATCACAATGTCTGCCTCCTGGGTTCAAGTGATTCTCTTGCCTCAGCCTCCCAAGTAGCTAGGATTACAGGCATGTGTCACCATGCCCGGCTAATTTTGTATTTTTAGGAGAGACAGGGTTTCTCCATGTTGGTCAGGCTGTTCTCGAACTCCTGACCTCAGATGATCTGCCAGCCTTGGCCTCTCAAAGTGCTGGGATTACAGGCATGAGCCACCACTCCTGGCCAGTAGAACCTTTAGTAATATTAACTGAATTTTATTTATGATCATATTTAAAGTGCTATAAAAACCCTTTAGTTCATTTTGAAGGCAATGATATTTTTAAAAATAAACTATTTTTTAGACCAGTTTTAGATTTACAGAAAAATTGGGAAGATAGATTTCCATATACTCCCATACCCAGTTTTCCTTATAAACATTTTATATTAGTCTGGTACATTTGTTACAATTAATGAACTATTATTTTTAGATTATTAACTAAATTACCTACTTTATTTAGATTTCTTGAGTGTTTACCAGTTATTCCTTTTGTGTTCGAGAATCCCATTTATGATACCACATTACACTGAGTTATCATAAGACAATAACATTTTTATTTATTTAGCAAATGCTTATTGAGTACCTCCTTTGTGCTGGGAACTGTTTTAATAGTGTAAGGGATCTATCCCATAAACAGACCAAAAAAAAAAAATCACTGCCTTTATATGAAGTTTGCATTTTGTTTCCATCAATATGCTCAAGAAATTTCTGATGAAAGTAAAACAAATAGAAAATCATATATACCACAGGTGTGATTATTGGCCTGTAATTCTGTCCCTTTCTTTGAATTTTCTTTTTTTAAAATCTAAGCTGGGCACACAGTGGCTTATGCCTGTAATTTCAGCGCTTTGGGAGGCCGAGGTGCGGGGGATCACTTGAGGCCAAGAGTTCAACACCAGTCTGGGCAACATAGGGAGAACCTGTTTGTATTTAAAATTAAATTAATGAAAACGGAAAAATATTTTTTAAATTATGCATATAATATATTCATACATTGTTGCCTGAAAATGTCATCTACTTCCTTCTCATTGCTGAACTCTCAGTCTTAGTTTTTCAAGTAATGCCAAGTGTTCCCTTGCTACAGAGAGAGCAGAAGGAGTCCAGGGAGAACAGCAGCCTTTGAGTGGAAGTTGGACCAGCCCTCAGCTCCCTTCAAGGACACAATCTGTTAGGTCACCCACACCTTATAAAAAACAGCTTAATGAGGAACTCCAGCGGCGCTCTTCAGCATTAGGTAAACAGTGTTCTTATTTTATTCCCTTCTGTATACTAGATTTTTCCACAGTCATTGTGTTTCCTAGGTTGTTTATAGCAGGACTATAAACAACTTTCCTACTATTTGAAATAGTCAGATACTGTTCAGAGTAAATAAAACCGTTACCTAGGAAGTGAAAGAATTTGTTGACACCTGGAAAAATTCTTAAAGGAGTCTTTAAAATTTAATTTAGGCAAGGCACATATCTCTTGACTATTTTTTGATTAATTACTTGCTTGGGTTTCAGCAGAGAACAGTTTGCAACATCCCCAGGAGAACACAGGTTAGTTTCTACTTTGTGAATGAATTCTGCATCTGTTCTTGGGATGCTAGTGAAATGTGATATGCATGCCTCTGGCTGCAGAACTCAGTCACCTCCATTAGTGGGCTGCCACTTGCTCTTGGCCTTCTGTCCTTGTTGGGGTGCTAACCGTCAGTGTGGCTGAATAAGCTGAGCTCCTCTCATCTGTCCGTTTTCCATTCTGGTCTACTACACAGTCATGTCCTTCATTTTCATGCTCTTCTGATGAGTATGGGCTGGGGATTGGTGTCAGAATTGAGAGGTTAGATAAAGAGAGGAGGTTTATGTTTTATTTCTGTCAGATTTTTAAACTTGGTGGAGTGGTTTGTCCAAATCAAGGTGACAGAAGAAAGGAAATGGAAGGCAGCATGATAGAAGGGAAGGGATGCAGCACTGGGGACTAGATGCCCCTGAACACCAGATCCCGTCTGGTCTGTTGATCTTCCCCCAGGTAATGGTGGTTGGCAAAAGGACCTTTTATTGTGAGTTGAGACTCAGCCAGAACAAAGAGAGACCAAGCAAAAGAAGAGTTTCTACCCAAAGACTGGCACAGAGCTGACTGTATCACCTGCACAGGTTTTCTAGGGCAGTGAGCCTCAGCCTGGGTTACATCAGCCATTTGGAGGGAAGAATCAGAAGATGGGGAGTGGGACAGCAAGGAGTTCTCCTTTTATTCCAGATAATCTCTATTTTAACCTTTAACCTCAGCAAACTCTCCTTAGATCTTGTGCCTGACCCACAGCAACACTATTTTTTGTTGAGGGAACTCTTTTAACTAAATCCCATGCTGAATTGAGTGTAGGGTTTTTTTTTTTTTTAATTTCTAAAATCAAGTTGGACTAGAATGTAATCTTTTAGAAGTTACAAATTGGAAAACCTTGCCATTGGTGTTATGATCCAACTTGAACTTTAATATCTCCATGTTGAGCCTTTAATATTTAGTTTCCTTATTGTCTTTTTCAGTTGTCTTGATTATTTGATTCTACCTCGAAGGCATCTGAGCTTCAGAAACCTGGTGGTGTTTGGCCAATCAAGTTATTTTTCCTACTAAAAATGCTTGTAATTCTACAGTTTATTAGCTTTCAGACCTTAGGAAAGTTATTTAATTTTCTAATGTTCTTTTTGCAAGAGAAGTAGCCAAGGCTATTTGCCTAAGGGCATAGAGCTAGACCAGATTTTCTCTTTGGGTTTCTTTCATCTTCAGCCAACATCTGTGTTTCTCTTGGTTCCAAGAAGGGTCTCGTTCATCCTTTTTCAGTGGGTGATGCTATTAATACTTTCGTATACGGCTAATTGGCTAAATGTAAGGGACTTCACACTATTGTTGCCTGCTGCACGGGAGCACAGCTGTTATGTTTGCAGTAGCTTCATCCAGCTCCTTTTTCAACTTGTAGATCATGGAGAGTTGCTTTTCTTTTTTGAGATGCAAGAAAAGTTTAGTTATTCTAATACAGT